GAGCCCTCACATTTGTCCCTATTTTTTCATTGATGGTCTTTGTAATTCTGGGATTCACATTTTGGTCTTTAATCCATGCTGAGTTGTTTTTTGTACAGGGGGTGAGGTAAAGGTTTTGTTTCAATCTTTTGCATATTGCTTTCAAGTTCTGCCAGCACCATCTGTTAAAGAAACTATCTCTTGCTCATGCAAATATACATGCAATATACTTATGCACTTTGTTGAAAATTAGTTGACTGTATGTGGATAGGTTAATTTCTGGATTCTTGATTCTGTCCCATTGATCAATATATCTTGCATTGTACCAGTACCAGGCTGTTTTGACCATTGTATCCATGTACTAAATTTTGAAATGGGGAGTGAGAGGTTTCCAACCTTGTTCATCTTAAGCAGCAGTGCTTTGCTTATCCTGGGTCTCTTTCCTTTCCATATGAAGTTTGTAGTGGTATTTAAAATATCCATGTATTTTAAATACAAAGAGTTTTTTCCATTTCTTTGAAGAATGTCATTGGAATCTTGGATTGGGATTGCATTATATGTGTAAATTATTGTGGACAGAATTGACATTTTCCCAGTGCTAAGTCTTCCTATCCAGGAGCATGGTATATTCTTCCACTTTTGTAAGTCTTTTCTGGTTTCTTGTGGTAGTGTTTTTTAGTTTTCTTTGTATAGGTCCTTTGTTTCTCTGGTTATATTTATTCCTGAATATTTCATCCTTTGGGCGGCTATTGTAAATGGTATTGCTTTCCTAATGTCCTTTTCAGCACTGTCATTGTTAACTGTAGAGGAATCCAACTGATTTTTGTATGTTGATCTTATACGCTGACACTTTGCTGAATCTTCCAATGAGGTTAATGCTTTCTTACTGAGTCTTTGGGGTTTTCTGTGTATAGGATCATATCGTCTGCCAATAGAGTTTTATTTCCTCTTGGCCAATTTGTATGCCTTTAATTTCCCTATCTTGCCATATAGCTCTAGCTAAGACTTCCAGCACAATAATGAATAGGAGAAAGTGCATCCTTGCCTGGTTCCTGTTCACAGAGGGAAGGCTTTCAGTTTCTCTCCGTTGAGAGTAATGTAGGCTGTTGGTTTTGTATATATGCTTTTAATTATGTTGAGGAATTTCCCTTCAATTCCTGCTTTGTTGAATGTGTTTATCAGGACTGGATGCTGGATTTTGTCAAATGCCTTTTCTGCATCAATCAATATGATCATGTGGTTGTTTTCCTTTTTCTCATTTATATGCTAGATTACATTGATTGTTTTTCTAATGTTGAACCATCCTTGCATCCCTTTTTGAAACCCACATGGTCATGATGTATTATTTTTTTGATGTGCTCCAGGATTCTGTTGGCTAGGATTTTGTTGAGAATTTTTGCGTCTGTGTTTATGAGGAATATTGGTCTGTAATTTTCTTTCTTAGTGATGTCCTTCTCTGGTTTTAGTATGAGGGTTATGCTTGCTTCTTAAAACGTATTAGTTTTCTGCCCTCTTCAATATTCTGGAATAATTTGAGTAGAATTTGTTACAGCTCTTCCCTGAATGTTTGTAGATAGAACTCACCAGGGAAGCCATCCTGGCCTGGATTTCTTTTGGTTGGGAGTTTTTTGATGATCTGATCAATTTCTTCTTTTGTTATGGGTCTGTTTAGTTTTCTACTTCACTCTATGTAAGTTTAGGTAGATCTTGTTTTTCTAAAAATGTATACACCTTTTCTAAGTTTTCAAATTTGTTGGGAGTACAACTCTTCATAGTATTCTGTTAGTATCCTTTTGATTTCCTTTGGTTCCGTTGTGACATCACCTATGTGGTTTCTAATGCGTGTTATTTGTGTCTTCTCTTTTCTTTTGTTAGGTTTGCCAGTGGTTTGTCAATTTTATTAATCCTTTCAAAGAACCAGCTTCTTGTCCTGTTGATTCTCTCTATAGTTTTTCTGTTTTCTATCTCATTTATTTCTGCTCTCATCTTTATTATTTTTTTTCCTTTGGTGACTGTAGGTTCCCTGGGTTGGTCTGTTTCTAATTGTTGTAGATGCTGTGTTAATGTGTTAATTTTGGTTCTTTCTTCTTTTTGGATTTGCGCACTTCCTGCAATAAATGGTCCTCTAAGCACCACTTTCACCATGTCCCAAAGATTTTGCTCTGTTGTGTTGATTCCATTTTTCCATGGACTTTATGAAGTCCCTTTGTATGTGAATAGCTTTGCTTAAAATCTGTTAACACTATTGGGAGAAGGGGGAAATGTCTTCAAGCAACACATGTTAATTCCTAAAGCTGAAAAGGTATGTTGTTGTTAAGTGCCATCGAGTTAGTTTAACCCATAGTGGCCCTGTGTAGGGTTTCTGAGGAGCAGCTAGTGAGTTTGAACCGCCAACTTCATAGTTCAAATGGCTTTACAGTCTGGCGCATTAACCCACAGCGCCACACAAGAGCAAAATGTAGACTACTCTTTAGGTCAACTACTGTATATGGGTTGGAGTCCTGGTGTGGTGCTGTAGGATAAACACTGGACTGCAAGGTCGGCAGTTCAAACTCACCAGCCACTCCTTGGAAACCCTTATACAGGGTCGCTATGAGTCGAAACTGACTGGTGGCACTTGACAAGCAGCACTTTATAAGGTTTTTATCCTAAATATATGTTGATTAATGAACTATACAATCATGTGTTGGTTTAGGACAGCCAAGAGAAAAATGGATGAACAGAGTTTCTTTGGTGGATTGCTTCACGTGTGCTATGCTCCAGAATTCGAGACAATTGAAGAAACTAGAAAAAAGTTACAAGAGAGAAGGGCTTATATAGCAAGAACTACTAAAAAGAAAGGTATGGAAAGCCCATTACTAAACACTTGCTGTATGTCAGGAACGATGCTAGGTATACCTCCTTGGAGTTTGCAGTCTGGTGGGAAGAGAGGCAAGTAACTGAGCACAATGCTAGACAATTTTGACCCATGGAGTTCCGCACGGCCTGGGTCATAAACTGGGCTGGAAAGGAGAACTGTTGGTTCACAGAAGGCTTTCTATAGGGTACATGAGGTGAATGGGTTTTCAACGATAGTAGACATTAATTAGCTAGGAGTAAACAGGAAGAGATGGGAAGGTGAACATGCTTAAATACCTAGAGGAATAAAGGAGGGTTTTTCATTTAAGGAACTGTGTACAGGATGACCAAAGCACAGAGGCTGCAGTGAAAGCTCAGACTGAAAAGTGGGCAGGAAGGGAATCATTGAGGGGCCTTGTCTGGTCTGAAGAACTAAGGCTTTGACCTGACCTGAAGGCAGTGAGAAGTAATTATATTCTGCCAGACTAGTTACTAACTGTTAATCACCATGAACAAGTTCCGCTTTTGACCAGCAAGTAGCCAGATGCCTCACTGCCCAAACAAATTTCCCCTAACACAAATTCTAGTACCTGGCACGTAGATTGTAGGAGTCGAGCAGTCAGAATTAGACTTAAGATAGTATGTGTGGTTTGAAATCAGTCCTAGGAGAGGCTTCAATAACCAGATTGCTGTGCTATCATTGAAAGACAGGTTTAGTGTTTTTACATCTATTCAGCATGGTGAGGTTATGGATGATTGGTGTAGGGGCATGCAGTAATAGTGAAAAGAGAAGGAAGAAGGCATGGGAAGTCCCTTGGAAAACTTACCTGGATATCTGACCAGAGAGCTGCAGAGTCTCCCCGGTCATTTTCAGACAATGGGATGTGGAGATAACCAGCATTCAGAAGACTTGTATGATTAGTGGCTCAAAATGAAACGTGTAAATTATTCACTGGAAAACTGTGGTTGGCCTGTATCATTAGAGGTAATATAGGGATGAAGTACGAAGTAGGGATTAAAACCCAAATCTTGATTTTCTATCTAGAACTTAATCTTGAACTGCTTTATTCCTCTCAGAGTTGGTGATGGAAGTCTAGCATTGACTTAATTCTGTGTTCCCTTTCCTCTTCCTACCTTTCTTGCCCTGTCCCTGATCTCATTATGGGTCTCGGCATTGCTCCAGCTTTGTGCTTTGAGTGGTAGCATGAAATAGTGTTTATAATTTAATTATGTTTTGTTTGGCCTGGAACACTTAATTAAGCTCTCATCCACAGCATTCTAGACATTACATAGTGTATTTGCATACATAATTTCACTTTTTAAAAACCTTTGTGAACATTTTAAAACAGAAAAGTAGATTGGATAATGTACCTCCCAAATATTAATAACATCAACAATTACCACACCTTCATCATGCCTCTGGTGGTGCAGTCTACATGTGGGAAGACTTTGAAGTGGCAAGAAGATGGAATGGGTGGGAAGGGGAAAGTAGGACATATGGGACAAGTGAAAATAGTAATGACTATTGGGGGTGGAACGTGGATAGGTAGGGAACAAGGAGAGGATTAAACTTGACACTGTATACATGAATATATTGCCTGCTCAGGAAATAGGATTTGTTAAATAAGATTATTTTAGATGATGAATGTTTGTTTTAAAAATTAATTTTCTGAATGATGAAGATAATAAGTGAAACATTTCTGTTTCCCTTCCTCCTACCTTTTGAATGATAACAGACCATTTTATGACAAAGAAGAAATTGGTTACAAAACCTAAAGACACAAAAGATTCTAGGCAGGATTTTCACTCAGAGGCATCTGGATTTTGTGCAGCTGCTTTGAATCCTTCTGCTGGAAACTCAAACCCTTATCATTGTGAATTGCCCACATGTTACTTCTCACACTGGACGTTTTCATCAGGGGAGCATGTGGACACAACATCAGACCCCTCTCAGGATGGTAGAAAGTGTGACCAAATGGTGGAGCATTATAACTGCAGTAGCTCATTGCCAAAAATACACAGGGAAACTTTAAAAAGTCCAGTGGTCTTCCCGGGTGCACTGAAGGTCAGTACTCCTACAGAAGCAATTGACAGATTTATGCCTCGGACAACACAACTGCAGCAACGGAAAAGGAGGAGAGAAGACGATTGTAGACGTGGAACATTTCTCCAAGCAAGCACAAGTAGTAATGAGGTTATGATTGGACCTCAATTACCAGACATACCGAAAGTAGATATGCACGATGACTCGTTGAATACAACGGCAAACTTAATTAGGAATAAACTTAAAGAGGTAAGGTCATTTCTTAAAACTTGTCTTGAGATATGATTTGGTTTTAAGACTGAAAAGTAACTAAGTGAAGAATCAAATCATTTGTGGGAAATGTAGTGGAAAAAATAATTCTTTTTCACATTTTAGTTTTTTGATGTGTTTTTCTATAATTCTCTGTTGAATTAGCTGAATTTAACTAACCAGTTCATTTGTTTTGATACCATTAATCTTTGCTTTAAACAAAACCCCAATATATTTGATCCTTTTTTAGACAGAAAATACTTGAGGCAGTTGTTGTTGTTGCTGTTAGGTGCCATCGAGTCGGTGCCGACTCATAGCGACCTTATGCACAGCAGAAAACACTGCCCGATCCTGGGCCAGCCTCACTACTGGTGCCACGCTTGAGTCCATCGATGCTGCCATTTGGCCAGTCCATCTCATTGGGGGTCTTCTTGTCCTCCGTTGTCCCTGAACCTTACCAAACATGTTGTTGTGAAGTGCCGTTGAGTCGATTGCGACCCTATATAGAGTTTCCAAGGAGCAGCTAGTGAGCTTGTACTGCCAACCTTGCAGTTCAAACGGCTTTGCAGTCTGGCACATTAACCCACAGTGCCATACCAGGACTCCAACTATACATGTAGTTTCCACCAATTAAATTAATCTCTGAAGGTGGAGCATAAGCCCCACTATCTGTAAAGTACCCGTTATGGTACTGAGATGAACCACTGTATCTAAGGAAAGTTATTTCGATTCTATCCTAGATTGAGAGTGCATGAAAGCACGGATTTTATTACTGTGAGAAAGACAGCCATAGAAAGAGGGATTTTTTTTAAGACTAGGCTTTTAAAAAGGTCTGCATTTCACCTTCTTAAAAGATTAGAACTAGATTGTTCCTAATTATTGTATCTATTATAGATTATAGATTAATGTATCTAATGTTATTATAAGTGCTGTCAAGTGGCACATAACTACAATCTAAATGCTGTCTGTGATAGGATAATATGCATGTGCCTATAGGGAAGCCCACTTAACACCAATATTATTCAAATTTATGCACCAACCACCAAAGCCAGTGAGAATGAAATAGAAGAATTCTACGAACTTCTTCAATCTGAAATTGATCAAACATGCAATCAAGATGTATTGATCATTACTGGTGATTGGAATGCAAGGATGGGAGCAAAGAGGAGGGATCAGTAGTTGGAAAATATGGCCTTGGTGATAGAAATGGAGAACACATGATAGAATTCTTCAAAATCAATGATTTGTGCATTTCAGATAACCTTCTTTCGACAGCATAAGAGGCGACTATACACATGGACCTCACCAGATGGAGTACATAGAAATCAAATTGACTACATCTGCGAAAAGAGACGATGGAAAAGCTCCATATATCATCAGTCAAAACAAGACCAGGAGCAGACTGTGGAACAGACCATCAATTACT